ATAATAAAATTAATTAATAATCTAAAAATCGCCGTCTTTACTAAAAACTCTGGATCTACCAAATCAAAAACTTCACCCCCCTCCCCACCCACCACCTTCTAGATAATAATTATATCCAGTGATACGCCCCTGAATAAAACTACAATGTAGTATATATTATATGTATAATTTAATATAACTGTAGGGAAGTTCGTGTACCTTGGGCCACTCCAATTTATTGAAAATCTCAGTCAGGCGATTAGTTAAAAAAAAAAATTATTTTTTAATCCTATTTTAATTCTCAGAAAGCGTTCCTATAGTGCAGGTACAATTAAAAAAAAAGCTTATCGTACCTAGGGCCACTAACTTTTAAACCTAACTACATGACGGGCATAATTTATATTTTAATTAATTATAATTTAAGTCTTTATACTTATAATAATATAAAGTAATTAGTGTAGAGATGTGATCATATCAGTTTTAGACGAGTCTGTAACTTTGAATTCGGGTTTCAAAAAAAAATCCAGCCCTAGGTACACAAACTTCCTCTAACTGTAGTTATATTATAAAGCTGCAGTTTAAATAGTATCAAATATTTGAATATTTAAACAGTATCCAATTGTATTTATATAGCTATAACTAGACGATTATATATTAATATATATGATTATATAAGATTATATTATAAAATATATATAATTTATATATATTACAACTTCATATAGTTGTATCTATAAAACTATAGTTGTAGTTACATAATATAATATATAATTGATGCTATTTAAACTAGGGGTAATCATACCTACTGTCCACTCTTTCACATCGATCGGTAGTAAAATATTCTTAATCCCCACATGTGTTTAGACAATTTATAAAGCAGAGTTACTATAAATCAAAACATACAAATAGAATATTTTAGTAAAATACAAAAATATGCATAACAACTTAGCGCAAATAATATACGGTGTTCATAACGTAAAAAGTGCTTTATGTACACAGAATCACACGTCCTTTATTGATAAAACACATATTTTTATGTTATATCATTAATAATTACTATTAATATTAATATATAAACTATTAATACATAGAAACATAAATTCTATTGTTAATAAATATAATTTGCTAATTTAATTAATAATGGGATCGAGAATGATATTGCAAAAATAAATATTTTATATCTGACTCTATTTTTTTTAAGAAATAAACGAAACCCAGTAAACACAGATTGGTTCAGAATTAGTCAATATTTAGTCAAAATCGGTCGAAAAATGGATAAAACGTTTAGCAACCTACTATTGACCAAAAATCGACGCTTGATTTGAAATGTATATTTCAAACTTTTTTATATATACGTTTACTAAACGTCGATCTAACGCATAGAATACGTAACATTAGTCGCTATTGTAAACCTTTATTCAACCTTAATTAAACGTAAACATTTATATATTTAAAACCTACGCTTTAAATCTTTTAATATATACGTTTATTAATCGTTGATCATACGTTTACAGTATTGACTAATATAAGTCGTTATCCTAGACGTCTAATAAACGTTTATTATATTATAATATAGTAATAAAGCCATTGGTCAGAAGAAACGCAAAACAGCTTAGGTCACGCGGTTTAAAAAGACACAGTTAAAACGAAATAAAAAACTTATTTAAAATTATTTTGTTTTGGCTAAATAATTAAATTAGACTTAAATGCGTTTTCAAGATTCACTTCCTTACAACAACTGAAAGCAAAACGACTGATAAATAAATAATAATCGAGTGTCGGGTGCGCCATTTTAATTCATGGAAGTTAAAAAGCTCTTATTGCGATAATTTACTTTGCTAAATGCCAACAAATCAATGGACTCTGATGTTTTAGAAATTATTGTTGGCGACATTGACGCAGTTAAAAAATATGAGTTGCTGATCTCTCGTTATGAAAGTCCTGCTGCAAGAACTTTTTTTGTAAGTTTTATAAACAGTTTAAATTCATTTTGTAAACGCTAGTATGATTGTGTAACAGTAGGTATTTATCTTTGCAATAATCAAGAGGTTTAATAACTAAATATTTATTTTTTTGTTTTACATGCATTTTTGCTTAATTTAGTCACATTTGCTAAAGAAAATTGGTGGAACAGAGCTGGTATAAACCACTGCATATGTTATGTCGCGACGTTACTAACTTTTTATTGTCAAAAATAAACATTGTTGGTACAGGAAATTTCGGAAACTTCCATTCAGAAAATCCTCTATATGTAAAGTTGTTCTGTTTAAATCCAATTTTGATATATGAATTTACATTTAAAATGCTAGCTATTTTACCCTAGTGTTTTGCGGTTACAAATCAGATTACGAAATCAGACAATTAGGATACAAATGTAGAATCTGATGTTGCACAAACAGGTGCAAGATGAACAAGCGGTAGACGGTATTCTAGGAAGATTTTTGTAAATGCATAAACCAGAGAAAACAGTGATTTAAAACAGTATTTTAAAATGTTTATGAGTTTATTAATTTTATTAGTAATCTTTGACTCAATCTTAATGTAAACTTTTATTTTCTGCTAATGAGATTAAATTTTAAAAATATTTGATAGAAATTGTTACTATAAAATTTCCATTGCAAAAAGCTTCATCATTTAATTTTTTTTTTAATTATCCAAATATAAACAAGCATAGTGCACAAACATTTTTTCTCTAAATCCCTACTATATGAAAACGTTTTATATAAGATTATAACTTTATATATAGTTTTATAAAATAAAAGTATAGTATAAGTAGTATAGTAGAAAAGTTTATAAACATATTATAATAGTTATAAAAAATATAAAAAATAAGACCATTACTTTTTATAACCATTTTTTATAAGTAAGATATCTTACTTATAAATTTCAAGACCTATATAGCTCTTATTACTTATAAAAAATTAAAAAAGGTAAAATGTAATTTAAATTTATATTAGTTTTAAAACTTAAATATATTGAAATTACGTTAACTAAATCAAAGAAACTATTAAACAAGATTTAAAAGTTTAATATACGTTTACTTAGACTAAATCTAAACGCTTTATATACGTTAATAAGACTAGATTTAATCGTAAATTAGTTCTAAACGCTTTATTTACATACTATAATCCTATAATAGACGTCTAAAATACGTTTGAATATAGACGTTTTATGGATGTTTGTTCTAAACGTTAATCTGGATTTCATTATAAACGAATAATCGACCAAATATGAATGTTTGTTGAAACGTTGTTTCAACAAACATTCATATTTGAATGTTTGTTGAAACAACAAAAAGCAACAAATTTAAGATAGCGACCTACTTTTGCAGGTGTTCCATCGGTAGCGCAAGCAAAATATTTTTTAAATAATTCTTGAAAATGTTCAATTGGTTTTCCCTCATCATTTAGATATTTCGTAGACAAATGTTCTCGCAATCCATTTGGTTTCATTGACTCATTTGATAGTGTTTTATTGCATATTAAAAAAAAATTGATTTTTTAAAATTTATTTTAATGAAACCTAATGAATGGCCACAAGCCCAAGTATTCCAATGAGTAGCCACGAACGTATTTTTATCTATGGGACAAATTGTAAAAATTTCTATAAAATAAAAAATTGATATTTAAATTAATTTAATTTAATTAATTTAAAATACAATAATTCGGTATTGAAACGTTTTTAAGATAAGGGATCATCCATAATTTACGTAAAGCAAACTTTCACAATATACAAAACAAAAAAGATCAAAGGTTTTTCCTAGGAGAGTCTTAATATAAATAAAATCAAAATAGTCGATTAAGTTTAATGAAACTCGCCGCGTAAAAGGGCTTAATATCTCCTACTTCTGTTTTTAAAATATATTTAGCGTGGCGTAATTTATGGCGTATATATAACCCATGTGGGTTTTTTTTGTATATTGTTATTTAGGCCATCCATAAAGGACGTCATCCAAATAGGGGAGGGGGCAGGGGGTCTAATTAAGAAGGGGGGGGGAGGTTGTCAGAAAAGTACGTCACTTTATAGATTTTTTATTTTAGTTTAATTAACATGGAAAACTACGTAAACATGTGTTTTTAAGAAGATAACGTATGAGAATATTTTTAATTATGTTTTTCAACAGATTCAAACATCATTGAGATTGAAATAAATTTTTTTGGAGTTAAAAATAGGGGGGGGGGGGGTTCAGGATTTTATGACGTCCTTTTCAAGGGGGTATAGGGAAAGAGGACAACCGGTGACAAAAGGGGGGGGGGGAGGGGGTAAAAAATTGGCTAAAAAATGGTGACGTCCTTTATGGATGGCCCCTAACCACTGATTTAAGCCGCGGAACTGATTAAGGTCCGCGAAATACGTTCTAGTGATCATGCTTGTTTATTCGGCGTATATTTATAACGATCAATAATATAAAAACGTAATCTGCAATAAATTTATTGCAATAGTTTTATAACGATAGTTTACATTTATAGATAAAATTATTTATATTATATTAATACATATTATAAATATTTATACCATTTATATATAATTTATATATATATAATTTATGTATATAAGTTATTGTAAATATATATAATATATATATATATATATATATATATATATATATATATATATATATATATATATATATATATATATATATATTATATATATATATATATTATATATATATATATATATATATATATATATATATATATATATATATATATATATATATATATATATATATATATATATATATATATATATATATATATATATATATATATATATATATATATATATATATATTGATGAAACACAGTGTTTAATGAAAACTTTTTGTTAAGTGATTTTCTACTAATTTATTATTGCTCTGTTCTTTTAAGAATATCGAGCACTTTATTTTGCAGAAAACAATTTAAAATTAAATATATATATATATATATATATATATATATATATATTTATTATATATATATATATATATATATATATATACATATATATATTTATAGATATATTTATATTGTTTATCTCATAGATATGTTTTTAAATGTCATTATGTTAGGTTGACGTTATCAAAAAAATGGAACAATTTAAGCTGCTAGTTCAAGAACAACTAACTACTGGTAGTTTAGATAATTCTTCTATTATAGAATGGATTTGTGGGAAAGGAAAGATTTTGGACCTTGTAGAATGTTTGGCTTCAGCTCTTACCGATACCAGTTTAGAAGTCAGAACTAAAGGGACTACCTTACTTTCTAATATAATGCACAAGTATGGTATTACACATAGAGTATAATATAATGCACAAGTATGGTATTACACATAGAGACATACACATGTATGCAGTCACACACATACACCAGGCTTTCACAGGAAGGCGTGCGATCGCACATTTTTATATGACCTGGCAAATTATATTTACTACGACGATTTGACCGCGGCTCATTCAAAAAATATTTTTATTAATAACCGTTACAATTTAATAAGTTTGATCTTAAATGCTTTTATATTATTGAAATGCTTTTTAATGAAGTAACAAAACACTTCTAATTAATTTTTAAAATAAGTATTTATAAAATGTTTTTTTTTTTATTTATATAATTATGTATTTTTTATAAGAAATGTTTATCTTTTGAAACATTAAATAAATAAAAGAAGTACAAATAATAAAACAAAGATTGAAATGGTTTTTTGTGTAATTTTAATGTGTAAATTAAATAGACTAAACATTTTAGTTTGATGAGTTTTGTTTTAGTTGTGTTATATATATATTTTTTTTGTGTTTTTGCTTTAACTAAGTATTTTTTTTATTTTTCTTTCGTTATTTTTTTTCTTTTTACAATTTTTTTTTTTTAGATAAGTTTAGGTAAGTTTTTATAGCACTCTTTTAAATATGTCAAAAGTTGTGGTCAAATCGTTAAAACATTATTTTTTGCGTAATCATATAAAGACATGCTATCGCATGCCTTCCTGTGAAAGCCTGTACACACATATACATATTCTAGATTAAAAAAGAATTTTAAAAATTTTAATATTTTATAATAGATATCCTGCAAATAAGATGAACAGTATTGAGGTTGAGCATTTTGTTTTGTTTTATTGTAATCGTCTACATGACCATCATTCTGTTCAGCCAATAGTTATCTATGGTCTCCTTGGGTTGATTTCATTTCAAGTTGTTGCTGATTCTATGGTCATAAAGTTGTTAAAATCATTATTTGCTGAGGTTTTTTTATATTAGTGTTATTTTATAAATTTTTTAAATTTTGAGTTTGTTTTTAATAAAGTATTTTTTATCAAACTTTAAAAAGAGAGCTATGATAACTATGTTAAGATTTAGTTATTGGATATAATTAGTAACCTACAAAGGCTTGATTTTGGCTTGAGCTGGGTTTGTAAAAATAAATTTTAGTAATCTATTTTCAATGTTGATTTTAATATTGTTAACTTGTTTCTCAGTTTTTTTCTCTGTGCAGCATCTTTGTCAAGGTTTGTGTTTCAAATTTCAAGAGTTTAGAGAGTTGTAATCACAATAAAAAAAGTAGTCTCTTTGACTGTAGTGGCGTCTTATGAAGGTAATTAGTGACCCGGGCCCTGGCCCCTGCTAAAAATGAGACTTTGCAAACCCTGCCCCAGCCCTGGCAAAATTATAAGAATTAGCAGGGGTCAATAGCAAGAGGTAAAAAAAAAATTATAAAACTTAATATAAAATAATTTTATGCTTACATTTACTATTTATTAAATACTAGCATATATTTATATATTTTCAAACTCTTATTTACTTCCAACAAGATTGCAAACAACAACTATTAAATTATGAGTTACTTTAAAATAAAGAATCAGTTAAAATACTAGGAAACCTATATTTAAAGACAAAAAGTTATAAGTTGTATAAAAAAGTAAAATATGAAGTTGGCTAAGAGTTATAAGTAAGTTTTTTGATGTTCAAGCAAAAAACTCGATTAATTATCATGCTATAAAAAGTTTTTTTATAGCATGAAGGGACAAATACAGTAAAAGAATGCAACTTGTTGAATAAATAGCCAAGCAAGAATTAGTTTTAGTTGATTGTTATAGAGATAATAGCTTGTTTGAGTATTGATCATGATTGTATTTGTAGAAAAAAGAAAAAAATCCAATTTTATAACAATTGGAGAGTGGCTCAAGCTTGGCAGATAAAGCAATTGGAGAGTCGCTCAAGCTTGGCAGATAAAGTAGTGTAATTACATTTACTATGTGCTTTTAGACCTCGCCTGAGAGTTAGAGGGTTGTTATTCATCAATATAGGAATGCCAACAATATTGGAATATTTTTTTGCAGTAAATAAATTAGTTTTGTTGTCTAACAAAAAGTGTGGATTTTAAATCCATAAGCCACTGCAAGCCTTAGGCTGTTACAGAAGTGAGATCAGATTTAAAAGTAGCTGCTTTTTCTAAGCAATTAAAAAGAGAATAGTTTTTTCGTTAGCAAATAGAGCCATTTTAGATTTCAATAAGATTATGTTATTGTAGATAAGAAATAATACAGGAACAAATATAGAACCTTTTAGTACCCTTAAAGTTACTTGAAATAAAGAAGTTAGGCCTTTAAGAATAACTTTACTACTGCAGTTAAAAAGAAATAATTTAATAACCTCAAAACCTTTATATAAAGAAACTAATAACAGAGTGAAGACTAATCGTAGGATAGTTTTTCAAAGTATTTTCAAGAGTTTTGAAAAATTGTAACCACTTATTTATTTTTTTTTAATTTTTTTTTATTTGCATTCACTCCCAACAAGGCTGCAAGCAACCACTATTAAGTTGGGAGTTACTAGGAAAAAAAAAAGAACAGAGTTATAGAGCAAGGAAACGGTTGACAGAAGACTTGAAAAGTTGAAGGTTGTATAAGTCAGGAAAACATGAAGATGGGAGAGAGTTCCAAAGGATTGAAGTGCGAGGAAAAAAACTAGATGAATAGAAGTTTAGAGCATGCAGGGACAGATACAGTAAACGAGTGAGACTTACCTGAATGACGAGTAAAACGAGAATGAATTTTAGTTGATGGAACTAGAGATGATAACTCCTTTGAGCAGTGACCATGATAGTATCTGTAGAAAAGAGAAAGAGATGCAACTTTACGACGATGGGAAAGAGGTTCAAGCTTAGCAGATAGTCCAGGTCCAACAACATTTACAATGCGTTTTTGGACCTTGTCAAGAAGAGAAAGTAAATCGTTAGAAGAACCAGCCCAAATATGACAACAGTATTCCATACAGGGACGAATAAGAGATTTGTAGAGGTAGAGAATGGATTCAGAAGTAAGGAAATGGTGAGCACGATAAAGAGAAGCAATCTTAGCAGAAGCTAATTTAGCAATCGATTGTATATATGGTTTCCATGAAAGGTCAGTAGTAAGCGATAATCCAAGAAGACGTAAAGAGGAGGACTCAGTAAGAGGATTGCCATTCATTAATATAGGAATGTTGACCTTATTACGGTAGTTGTTTGCAGTAAGCAAATGGGTTTTTTTAGAGTTGAAATTCACAAGCCACTGTGAACCCCAATCTATTACTGAAGTGAGATCAAAAAGAGAAAACTTTTTGTCAAGACAGGAGTATAAAGTTAAGTCATCAGCAAAAAGAGCTACTTTAGATGAAAGGTTGTCAGGAAGATCATTTATGTAGATAAGAAACAAAACAGGGCCCAGGATGGAACCTTGGGGAACCCCAGAAGTTACTGGAAATAAAGAAGAGTGTTGGCCTTCAAGGATGACTTTAATAAACCGGTTAGAAAGAAATGATTTGATAATCTCAAAAACTTTCCCAGAAACACCATATGAAGCAAGCTTATGGAGAAGACCAGCATGCCAAACTTTGTCGATAGCTTTAGATATGTCAAGAGCAATAGCCCTAGCCTCACCGCCTCCATCTAATGCAGGATAAAATCTTTCAGTTTCAGCAGTTAGCAAGTCGGTCGTAGAGCGAGAGGATCGAAAACCGTATTGATTGTCTGACAGTAGTTTATTTGACTCAAGATGAGATGTGAGGAATTTGTTGATCAAAGACTCAAAGACCTTGCTAATAACAGAAAGAAGACTGATCGGACGATAATTGGAGGGGTCAGAATTTTCTCCAGAGTTTTTGAATATTGGAACCGCAGATGCCATTTTCCAACAAGCAGGAAAACAAGACTCAGTCAAACACTTGTTAAATAGTTTAGAGAGAATTGTAGAAAGTTCTGGAGAACAATTCTGCAAGACTGTGACAGGAATGTTGTCTGGACCACAAGCTGTAGACGAGTTTAATTGAGATATGACTTTAGCAACAGAAGCCGGAGTGATTTGAATGTCTAACAATGGGTCAACTTGTTTGACTGGAATGGAAGGAAGAGAATGTCCATAAGATTCAAGAGTGGAATTAGAAGAAAAGTTCTTTGCAAATAGTTCTGCCTTATCCTTGGGAGAGGTAATAAGATCAGTCCCATGAATGAGAGATGGAATGTTAGATCTACCCTTGTTAACAATGCTGTTGAAGATTTTCCAAAAGTCTTTAGAGCCTAACTTCTGCGATAAGATGCGAGATTTAGTGAACTGAGAATAATGGAGTTTAGCATCAGAAAGCACCTTTTTACATCGATTTCTTGCAATAATAAATAGCCGTTTGTTCTCAAGAGAGTTGTTCTTTTGAAAAAGATGAAAAAAATGATTATGATTGGATATAGCAGCCGCACAAGAAGGAGAAAACCATGGAGTAGAATGAGGCTTGACTTGAAACCGACGAAAAGGAATAAAAGCTTCCATTCCAGCCTGAATCCAGGAGGTTACGTAGGAGGCGCATTTTTCAGCTGAGAGAGAAAAAGCATCAGCCCAAGGACCATCACGAAGAAAATCACGAAAGGAATCCCAGTCAGCTTTAGGGTAGTAGTAGGTGGTGCGATGATAAGGTGAGCCCAAAAAAGAAGTACGAGAAGAAAGATTTATAGAGATCCTTGCATGGTCAGAACCACCTAAGGGAGAAAAGGGAGAAACTGAACATAAGCTAGGGTCAGAGACAAGACATAAGTCATGGAGTGAAGGTAAATGATTAGGGTTGTCAGGAAAATGAGTCACAAAGTTAACTATCTGAGTAAGAGATTGAGAAACGCAGAAGTTAAAGGCTTTAGTGCCAGCAGGATCAGTGGTGTTAGAGCCAGGCCATTCAGTGTGATGGGCATTAAAATCACCAACAACAACAATATTGATCTTTGTGACGCTGTTTTATTGCTGTTTTATGCAGTTTATAACCTTTATAACATAAAACACGTTTAAACTAAAAATAAGTAAATAAATAAAATTGTTCTAATTAATAAATTTAAATGTTATCGTCATAAAACTAAAAACTTCATATTTGCAGAAAAAAATGCCTATAGACCATACTAGTCTATAATCTACAGACCATACTAGTCTATAATCTATAGACCAAACAAGATCAGAGCAAAAAAACATTCTATACCACATTTTTTATAATTTATTGTTTTTTGATCTAGCGTGCTATTAAAAATTTATAAGTATAAGTTTTTCATTCAAATGATTTTTAAGTTGATATTTTCATTCAATTTTTTCATTTAAATTTTTTTGCAATAAAAAGTAAAACAAAAAAATTTGGTCTGATAAATCGAAATATATTTCTTTAAAAGAATTCCAAACCTCCAAAGCATGTTTTGTTCATATTAAAGAGAATAATAAAAAAAATGTTTGGGCTAAATTTTATTAATTAAAACAAAAGAATAAATGCATACCAAGAAAAACTAACTTTTTAATTTTAGTTGAAGCTCGCCTTCTCTGTTTTGTTGTAGGCCAAAAAGTCAGCATAATATACGCCACAATCTACAGACTTAATAATTTATTCAAGTGCATTTTATTTCTAAGAATTTCAATAATGACGTCATTGACTTTTTTTGTTTGTGTAAAAGATCGAATATGTAAACAAACAAAAAAATCAATGACATCTTGTACTTACCTTAGCCCAAACATTTTTTTTTATCATTCTCTTTAATATAGACACAACATGTCTAGAGGTTTGGGATCCCTCTAAGTTTAAGAATATGCTTAAATTATTTTTTTAGAAAAAAATTTCTTTGAACAGAAATAAAATAATTTATTAATTTAAATTTCAATTTCAAATTTCAATCGAAAAATTATTTGAAGAGAATTTCAAAAGACTAAAAAATTTAAAGAGAATTTCAAAAGACTTTTGTTCAAATAGATTTCTTTTTAAATAAAATTCCTAAAAACAACTTCTGTATTTATAGAAAATTTTTGATCTTGATATCGCTTTAAATAAAATATAAAAAAATGATATCGCCTTTTTTTATATTCTATTTGAGATTTCTTGTTAAAATAATTTTCAGTTAGAAGCTTATATTTTGTGTTAACAACAGATAAGATACAAATAGAAACATTTTTTATAAGATTCTCAAAGATGAAAAATCAATCCAAGTTTGCTTTTTCATCTGTAACAAAAAGTTTGCTTTTTCATCTGTAACAAAAAGTTTGCTTTTTCATCTGTAACAAAAAGTTTTTATAAATCATAAGTCTAAGTTAAAAATAACTCAGTTCAAAGAATGTCTTCAATATGCTTTTAAAGGATAACAGTTTTTAAATTTTTTACATAATTGATTTTTTCTGAACAAGTTAAAAATTAAAAATGAAGCAAAGTTGTTGAGATCAATTAGTTTTTAAACATTGCAAACATAAAGTTGTCTTTTATATTGTTTTATGTAACATTAGGTAAAAAGATATTTTTCACAAACATTAGACACAGGTGAAAGTCCCAGACAAGCAGTTTATTTTTAGATTTTTGGCATTAGAAGGAAAATAAATATTATAACCGAAAGCTAACTTTTTTAAACATACATTACTGTAATCTATATGAATAAAATAAGTGTATGGTATTTTAAAAATTAAAAAAAAAAGTATTTAATGAAATCAACAAATTTATGGTTTTTGCTTTTAACTACTTTTTTTAAATATAAAATTGATGAAATATTAAAATAATATCAATCTATTTATTTTTTAATTTAGTATAGTATAATCTATTTAATTTTTTTAATTCATTAAATTTAGATTAAAACAAAAAAATATTATCACTAAAACCCATAAGTGACCAAAGTTATATAACTTTGGTCACTTATAGGTTTTAGTGATAATATTTTTTTGTTTTAATCTAAATTTAATGAATTAAAAAAATTAAATAGATTATACTATACTAAATTAAAAAATAAATAGATTGTTCTATACTATTTATTATTTATTTTTGCAGTTTAAAGATAAAGTATAATTGTTTACATTTAAAAAAAAAAAAAAAAAAATTAAAAAATGATTTTTTTATTCCTGAGAAATGAATGTTCATAGTTATAACGAATTTAGGTGGTATAACGTTGAAGATTTTGTTTCGTATTTTTTCAACATTTTTTATTTTTGTTATTATTCATTATAGATAATTTTTTTATTTAACTTAGTTGGATTAATTTTTTATAAAATCCTGTAAATAATCAGATGTCAAATATACAATGTATTTTATAATATAATTATGTTAATTTATTTAGTTGTTTCCTTATTTATTAGGTTCATGTTCAATCTCTGGTTCAGTCAGATCGAAAAAATGTTTATAATATTTTTTCAAATCTGTTGACTACTAAACTCAGTGTCCTCCAATCGATTTCTTCAGAGTTTTTGTTAGGATTTATTCAGGCAATGGATAGTGAGAGTGATCCAAGAAACCTTTTAATATGTTTTGCTAATTCAAAAATCATCATAGAAAATTTTGATTTTCATTTGTTTTGTGAAGAATTTTTTGATGTACTATCTTGTTATTTTCCAGTTGACTTCACACCACCAGACAACGATAATATCTCAGTTAAAAAAGATGACTTGGTTATGGGATTGCGATCTTGCTTTGTGTCTACAAAAGAATTCGCTCCGTATGCTATTCCACTTTTTGTGGAGAAGCTTTCTTCAAGTTTATTAGATGCTAAAAAGGATGTACTAATAACTTTTTCAGAATGTTTAAAATCATATGACTCTGTGTTTGTAGAACCGTTTTTGACTGAATTATGGTTATGTATTAGAAAAGATTATTTGTTATCAGATGATAAAGACATGTCACCTCTTTACTTAAATTTTGTTCATGAGTTTGTTTTGTGTCTTTCAAGATCAGCAAGTTTTGAGTACTTGTTGCAGTTAGTTGAGCTGTTAATAAAAGACTGTTTGCTAACTCTTAAAGATCCAGAATTATCTATTGCAGATCATTGTGGAAACTTGGTACTTTGTATTTGTAACTCTTGCCCTGCAACTTACGAACAAATGGTTAGCAGTTTGGTGCCATCGTTAAATGCATGTTTTGAGAAATATACTTCCCCAAAACAAAGATATAACTTACTCAATTTAATTTTAAAAGTTTACAGTATTGAAATAGGAGATAAAAATGTACCAGCTTGTCTGGTTGAATTTACCGATTGGCTTGTACCCTTATTGTACAATTTAATAGAGTCAGAACACAAATCTCTTCCAATAGTTAGTTTAAAATGTCTTTCAAAAATACTATGTCACTTAAATAAATTTCAAGGCATTGACTCCAGCATGTTTTTCCTTCGCACTATGAAATTGCCATTGTCAAAACTACTAGATTCTGAAATGTTTATGTGTTACCAATCTATGATCACCATTCTATCCAATAAGTGTTCAGAACTTTTTGATCCACTGTGTGTTGCAAAGCTAAAACAAAATATTTTTGTAAATAATAATATTTTGATTAAAGATCAATGTATAAGGTTGTTAAGTCATTGTGCCTTAAATCAAAACTATAGAGAATCAATTGTTACATTTATGGTCAACATATTGCCTGAGTTTGTTAATGATGAAGCAATCTTTGGTATTATTTTAGATGTTGTATGTAATATTTTAGATAGTTATTCAAATGAAGTAAGTAAAACTGTTGTTTTATTACCATTATTAGAAATTTTTTTTGCAAATAAATGTTCAGACATCCTTATGAGTAAAATGGTTCTTTGTTTGTCAAGTTGTTATCTCAAATTAAATGCAATTGAAGCTGGAGAACTTTTTAATCTTTCCTGTAATTTATTAATTAGCAAAAAAAATATTGATTTGTTTCATCTATCTGTAAATAAATTAGAGAAACTTAAAGAAATTGTTGTCCTTAACAGAGCTGTACAAAGTCAAGTTGCATCAATGTTATTGAAGAATGCAGACTGCATACCAGCCCTCATCAATGAGTTTTGTTTGTTTATTTCAAATTTTGTTAATGATCAGTTTGCATGTGAATGTGCTGGAATTGCATTTGCTTCAATTGTTAATAAAGTTTCAGGTAAAGTCATTTAAACATATTTATTTACAGTATGTATTGAGCACTCTATTTGTCGAATACATCAACTTTACTTACATATATATATATATATATATATATATATATATATATATATATATATATATATATACATATATATATATATATATATATATATATATATATATTTATATAAATATATATATTTATATAAATATATATATTTATATAAATATATATATTTATATAAATATATATATATATTTATATAAATATATATATATTTATATCTATATATATTTATATATATATATATATATATATATATATATATATATATATATATATATATATATATAAATATATATATAATTTTTAAAAGTCATTTCTTGTTATACGATATATATATATATATATGTTTAATATGTAAGTTGATTTTAATAAAAAAGGCAGCGTATAACTATTTTTAAATATATTTTGATGTAAAAATATATCAACGATATTTCGCTGACCTATTGTGGTCAGCGTCATCAGGTAATAATAAAAAAACGTTACAAAATAACATAAAAACAAACCGTTTAAAAAGAAGACATTAAAAAGCGTCAAATATAAAAACCAATTAAATATAATAATGACGTCAGTTAAATTTTTGTCAAAATGGGTCCCCAAGTTCTTGTTTTAACCTTATCCCCGTCATCTCGATTTAGAACACCTTCCCCAATACCTATCTCACATCGAACTTTCGCTTTGTTAATCTCCAGAGATTCTCTAATTTTTCGTATCTTGTATTCTCGAACGACTGCCAAGGTCTTAGGATTTAGCCAATCAAAGTTACCACGGCATGTTTTGGAATGTTCCGTGGCTCCTGAACTCGACCATTTTTGATTTTTGCAAGCTCTTTGGTGTTCTGCACTTCTTGAAATGATTTTCTTTTTGGTCTCACCAATATATATATATTTCCGCATGAGCATTTAAGTTGGTAAACCCCCGGATTTGAGTTCGGAGGTAGTTTAGTTTTGTTGTTGCATAATATATTACTTAAACTAGGAGCTGAAGTAAATATAACTCTGATGTTTTGTTTTTTAAATTCTCTTCGGAGTTTTGGGCCAATAATAGGTATCCAAGGTAGTTTAACAAACTTTTGATCTAACTGATTAGATGTAGTATTTTTTGAAATGCCGTCTAAATAGTTTTTGGTTATTTTAATAAGATTATTTTTATTATAGCCGTTTTCAAAAAATGTATTTATGAGGAAATCAATTTCTTGTGAGAGATATTTTTGAGAGCAGATTTGTTTTGCTCGACATAAAAAACCTTTAAAGATGCCAATGGTTATGCTCGAGTTAATGTTGGAGTTTGGTTTTATTTGAACATTTGTTATCGCATCCTTACGGTGTATTTGAAACTCATAAAATCCATTCATTGTATTTGTAATACAAATATCTAAAAAATTAAGTTGTTTTCTTTTGTTTTCAAGTTCAACGGTATATTTTATGGAGGGGTTTTGTTCATTTAAAGCTTTAAGAAATAATTCTTGCTTTTCTTTTGAATCGAAGCGAGCATGGCTATCATCCACATATCTTTTATAAGTTATTGGTTGGAATGAATTAACAAAGGCTATATCAAGTGCTCTTTTTTCTATACTTTGCAAAAATGCTTCAGCTATGACTACCATCAATGATAAACCAATTGGACCTGAATTAGGTAAAATTCGGATTTTATCTTCGTATAAAAAGTAACATATGCTTAACGATAGTTCAATTAATTGGTGTATATCTATGAGAGTTAATTTAGTCCTAGTTTTTAAATCTTCAAGATCATCGTTCAATATGTTAATAATAACAGGAATTGCTTCATTGATCGGTACGGATGGATATAAATTAATTACATCGAAAGAAACCTGAATTTCATTAGGGTCTATCTTCCATTCTTTAGCATCGTTGACAAAGTTTCTTGAATTAATTAGTCGAGTTATGTTTTTGTTTAATGTTGGTTGGATAATTTTAACCAGATACTCAGATGTTCCATAAGGAGGTGTGTTAATAGTGGAAACAACAGGACGCATTGGGTAGTTTTTTTCCAGTTTGTGTGCTTTAACCATTCCATAGATTCTAGGTGGAACGCAATCTGATGGATATATTTTAAAATAAGTAGCATTGTCTAACTTACCTTGTTTTCTTAATTTACATAATAGTTTTTGAAATTTAGTAGTGAATGTGGGTGTTGGGTCGTAATCAATAATTTTACTATTTTTTATTTGTTCTTCTAATTTCGCTTTTGCTTCATTTTCGCATAATAAAGCAAAACCTGTTCCTTTGTCAAACGGATATATCTTTAGATGTGAATGTTTTTTCAGGTTTTGTAAAGAAAGGCGTTGTTGTTTTGTTAAATTATCTTTTATTTTTAACTTTAAAGAACTGGTTAGAATTTTGGAACAGTTTTGTCGAAGAATCTCTGCTTGTGTTTGTTTATTTTGTTGTTCGAGTTCCAAGGCGCAAGTTTCAATATTAGTGATTATGTCCATATAAGGGATGTTCTTTTGTATTGGGACAAATTTTGGACCAAGATTAAGTAGTTCAGTAGTTGCTTTATCAAGATTAATATTTGTTAAATTTAGTATAGCTGGTTTTAAAATTCGGTTAGGACGATTTTTTTCAAAATTGATTTTATAACTGATGTCATTTTTCAATTTATAGAATTTTTCTTTCATTTTAGTTTTTTTTAAAGAATAATGGTAGTTCTTAGATTTGTTCGTTACATTATTAATTATCTCATAGTCATTAGATCTTATTTGAGATTGAAGATATAAATTTAATTCATCAATTAACTTCTTACTTGAATATAATCTTTCTTTTGCTTCATTTCGAGCATGAACTAATAATTTTTTTCTGCATTCTTTCATTATATTTTCAGCTTTTTTGGTACGTAGTGGACTTTTTATTTTAAACGATTTTGGGATTATATTGTTTGATATGCATTTTTGAAGAAAAACGAGTTGATTTTTCGCAATTGCATTTCATATCTTCAAAGTTTGCAATTTTTTCGTTTCATTGTAAATCTCTTTGCCGTAAAGAGCAGTGATAAAATCTTTAAAAGTCATTTCTTGTTATACGATATATATATATATATATGTTTAATATGTAAGTTGATTTTAATAAAAAAGGCAGCGTATAACTATTTTTAAATATATTTTGATGTAAAAATATATCAACGATATTTCGCTGACCTATTGTGGTCAGCGTCATCAGGTAATAATAAAAAAACGTTACAAAATAACATAAAAACAAACCGTTTAAAAAGAAGACATTAAAAAGCGTCAAATATAAAAACCAATTAAATATAATAATGACGTCAGTTAAATTTTTGTCAAAATGGGTCCCCAAGTTCTTGTTTTAACCTTATCCCCGTCATCTCGATTTAGAACACCTTCCCCAATACCTATCTCACATCGAACTTTCGCTTTGTTAATCTCCAGAGATTCTCTAATTTTTCGTATCTTGTATTCTCGAACGACTGCCAAGGTCTTAGGATTTAGCCAATCAAAGTTACCACGGCATGTTTTGGAATGTTCCGTGGCTCCTGAACTCGACCATTTTTGATTTTTGCAAGCTCTTTGGTGTTCTGCACTTCTTGAAATGATTTTCTTTTTGGTCTCACCAATATATATATATTTCCGCATGAGCATTTAAGTTGGTAAACCCCCGGATTTGAGTTTGGAGGTAGTTTAGTTTTGTTGTTGCATAATATATTACTTAAACTAGGAGCTGAAGTAAATATAACTCTGATGTTTTGTTTTTTAAATTCTCTTCGGAGTTTTGGGCCAATAATAGGTATCCAAGGTAGTTTAACAAACTTTTGATCTAACTGATTAGATGTAGTATTTTTTGAAATGCCGTCTAAATAGTTTTTGGTTATTTTAATAAGATTATTTTTATTATAGCCGTTTTCAAAAAATGTATTTATGAGGAAATCAATTTCTTGTGAGAGATATTTTTCAGATTTTATCAGATTGCGTTCCACCTAGAATCTATGGAATGGTTAAAGCACACAAACCGGAAAAAAACTACCCAATGCGTCCTGTTGTTTCCACTATTAACACACCTCCTTATGGAACATCTGAGTATCTGGTTAAAATTATCCAACCAACATTAAACAAAAACATAACTCGACTAATTAATTCAAGAAACTTTGTCAACGATGCTAAAGAATGGAAGATAGACCCTAATGAAATTCAGGTTTCTTTCGATGTAATTAATTTATATCCATCCGTACCGATCAATGAAGCAATTCCTGTTATTATTAACATATTGAACGATGATCTTGAAGATTTAAAAACTAGGACTAAATTAACTCTCATAGATATACACCAATTAATTGAACTATCGTTAAGCGTATGTTACTTTTTATACGAAGATAAAATCCGAATTTTACCTAATTCAGGTCCAATTGGTTTATCATTGATGGTAGTCATAGCTGAAGCATTTTTGCAAAGTATAGAAAAAAGAGCACTTGATATAGCCTTTGTTAATTCATTCCAACCAATAACTTATAAAAGATATGTGGATGATAGCCATGCTCGCTTCGATTCAAAAGAAAAGCAAGAATTATTTCTTAAAGCTTTAAATGAACAAAACCCCTCCATAAAATATACCGTTGAACTTGAAAACAAAAGAAAACAACTTAATTTTTTAGATATTTGTATTACAAATACAATGAATGGATTTTATGAGTTTCAAATACACCGTAAGGATGCGATAACAAATGTTCAAATAAAACCAAACTCCAACATCAACTCGAGCATAACCATTGGCGTCTTTAAAGGTTTTTTATGTCGAGCAAAACAAATCTGCTCTCAAAAATATCTCTCACAAGAAATTGATTTCCTCATAAATACATTTTTTGAAAACGGCTATAATAAAAATAATCTTATTAAAATAACCAAAAACTATTTAGACGGCATTTCAAAAAATACTACATCTAATCAGTTAGATCAAAAGTTTGTTAAACTACCTTGGATACCT